GCTCTTGGTGGGATTTAATGCACGGAGAACCCCCCCCAAACAGTTCCCCCTACTCCCCAGTCCCACCCAGGGGAAAGGTGGTCTTTCCCCTGCTCCCCTCCTCCCCACTGCACCACTCTCCTCTCAGCATGCCCATAGCTGACCTTCACTGCCATCCATCCTCAATGTACAGAACCACCTCTGCGTTTGCCCACGCCAGACTGTCACCCTGGTTGTGCCATTGGTTGATCCTCCCACAGCCTCTACCATATGCTGCAAATAACCCAGGAAACGGTAACTTCAGTATTTTACCTGCAATTTTGTTAGAAACTGCAAAGCATGTATGTTGTTTGCTTCAACTATTACGTTACAAAAGTAAATGGTAAACCAGAGTTCCCACAAGACTGGAGATCCAAGGAAAAAAAAAGTATGTAAGCAAATAAGGGATTGAGGGAGGAGAGGGTGGGCTTAGCACTGGTCCCAAGCCCTAGGAAGTTGAACTGTAAGGATCCACTTTCCATGAATGGGTAGCAAACAAAATCTCTATCAAAAACCATATGCCAGAGATGTTAGCTGGAGTTTAGAGACTAAGGGAAACTTAAAGCATGAGTCCAGCCCAAATACAGCAAGGTGCACGGTGAGTACTCAGAAGAGATGCTTTACCAAGGGTCTCCCCAAAAATTTTTAAAAATTTAGTTAGAAAGGTCATTTTTCCATTCAGGCAGAGAAAGGAAACTGGGTTTTAGAAATGTCTGCAGGATAAGGGCCCAACTGTTCACCCTTTTATCTTAATCTACAATTGCTTTATAACAACCCAACTCTACTGCTAAATCAAGCCAAAAGTTAAAATTACATACAAAAATCCTTGAACCGTTTTATTAATACCTACATTTTGTCGGTCTCCAGTTAAATGGGCGAACTCCACCATTTCATTTCCAAACTGACTGAATATTTGCACAAACTCTTGGAAACTACTCACTTTCTCTAGCTGTTCCATTGTTGCAAGAACCTGTAAAATATTGAAGGAAATTAATCATGATAGTTATCAACAGTAACCTCTAAAGCTGCAGCACTGAGATAAAATAGTCATTTCCTTTCAAGTTTCACAGACACTTGTCCTAATACCAAAACAGTCTTAGAAGATCCAGCATACATATATAAACACTATGAAATGGGTTTTCAAATTTCAAGCATTCTGTACCTAAATGAGTGCACAGGCACCCACATACAGCATTTGCTCATTTCAAACACCTCACAGGTTTTGAAAAAATACAATCTCACAATGAAGTTCAGTTCTGCGGAATCAAAAGCTGGGAATCTAGGGACTGACTCTTGTGTACTTCATTGGCTAGCTAGCTGGGGACAATTAGGGAGCATTCTGACTCCGGGTAAGTACAGACATTTGGAGAGGTTACAGCGAGTTCAAAATAGCACCTGATCTAAGGCAAGTCAGGATGGGGGGCTAGTGGGGTACTTGGGGACATCAAGGGGAATCAGGGGGAGTGGCAGGGTCTGTGAGGGTTTTCATAGTATCAGAGGAGATAACAGGGTCTGTGGGGGGGTTTGGGGGCTCTCTCCCCTACTGTGACACCAGGAGCTATTTTTAGCTTTCCAACCCCCCCGCCAAACAACACCTCTGCCCAAATCCCACCCACCCTTCTCTGCCATCCTGACTTAACTTCCTCAGCACGAGAGACTGCCAGTAAAACTGTGTTGGGACAGTAGGCTTGGTGGGCTCAAGGGAGGGGCTGGCTGGTCTGCAGGGAGGGTTACCCATCTTGGGGTGGGAGCCTAAAAATAACCCAATGCCAGAAGCACAGGTAGGAAAACCAAAGCCCTGGGGCTGGGCTTTCACACCCCAGGGCTGCAATGGGAACTATACAGAAGTTCACTCTCACCAATTAGACTACCTCTGAGGTACAGTTAACTTAGTTTGGATTGGTCATTTTTAGACTGATCTAAGATGTCCTGAGCTTCTGCAGAATTCACTTACAGATCCACTTAACTAGGGATCCAAGTATAAGGTCCGCACCTGGGGAAACTAAGTTAAACTGGGTAGCCATTTTTAATGCGATCTAACCTCACTCTAACTTCTCCAAATATTTGTATGTACCTTCTGTGTTTAGTCTACTTTCCTGTTTTCAATTCTGAGGGACACTACACCAACACAAAAATGAACCGACTGCTAATTTACATAAATGTTCTTCACCATTTCTCCCACTGTATTTTTAGGCAGGATTTAATTACTGAAGTCAATGAAAAGGGAGTTGCAAGCAAACTTAAACTACATGAGGAGAAATAATGTATAGTAAAAGACCCTAGAACAGGGGTTATCAACCAGGGGTATACATATTCCTGGGAATACTTTGAAAGGTCCCAGGGGGTACACAGGGGCAGTGCGCCACCACCCCATGCCACTGCCTCACAGGAGCAGGGCCAGGGCAGGGCCAGACAAATATTGTGTTGCTGCTGCTCCATCGTTCAGCATGGCCCCACTCCGTGTCTGGTCGCTCCCCACCCCACACCCAGCCACTCCCCACCTTGCATCCCAGGGGTACACTTATCAAGAAGGGGGCCGCTGGGGATACACTTATAAAAAAGGTTAAAAACCCCTGCCCTAAAACATTTTAGATTTATTAAGGGTACAAGAAAAGTTAGATGCTGCACTGGTGGAACTATTAAAAAACAACAAGTCACATATTTCTGCCATTCCTACTTTCTGCAGCAACTTTTTTTTTTTTTTTAATGAAAATTAAAATAATAACACAGAGTATGAACAGATAAGACATTTGTAGTAGCCCACCTGCCTTTATAGGGCTCCAAAAAGTGAGAAGACAAACTGCCCTACAAATCAGCATGAACTGCTTCAAAATTGGCACTGCATGAAACAGGAACAACTTTGAAGCACTTGATTTGTGCATGGGTCATTTATACCCTTCAGGAGAAGGGAACACGGAGTTTGATGCATCTGCCAGCATCCCATACTGCTCTGCTTCTCTCTCCCTCATGGCCCCAAGGTTGCCCCTCTAACTCACTCCCCACTACACTGCCCAGTGGTCACAACCTGCAACTTTGCCTGGCACATGACCCTGCCTTTTTTAAAGTTAGGTACGAAGACACACACCACGGTATCTGTTTTGTGAACAAACACCAAGGGAACTTGACTTCAAGTGTCACACATACTGAAGCATCCACTCACCCATCCTACACTAGTACCCGAATTCTGCTCCAATGTCTCTTCCAAATCTTGCTCCAATAAACATCAGCTCGCAAGGACGGGAAACTCATGC